CGCGCCCGCCGCTTTCTCCTCCGCCCGGGGCCCCGGTACCCCTGCCGCCCTTTGACGCTGTGAGCGCGCGCACCATGTTTCGGCCCTCCACGATGACTCGCGGAAAGCGCTCGTCGCGCAGCACGCGCAGCACGCGCCCGGTGAGCCCGCGGTCCTTTCCAGCTATGATCTGCACCAGGTCGCCGCGCAGGATGCGCCACTTGCCCTTGTCGAACATGGGCTTGATGGCCTTCAGCGGCTTGCTCGGCATCGTGAAGGGCGCGCGGCAAGGGCTGCGGTGGGGCTGAAGACGTGGTGTTTGCCGCTGTCGGGGCGCTGCAGCGACTGAGGCACGCGCTGCACTCGGAGGTGGCACCCGGCGCAGCCACTTTTACCCGTGAAGGCGGACACAAGTGTTCAAACTCAGATTGAATACTCTACTTAATGCTGCAAATCGGCAGGAGGGCCGAGAAAGCGGTCAGATCTCCCAGTTTTGTGCTGCACGCTTGTGACGCGTTTGACGTTCTAGTAAGTGATGTGCTAGTGAATTAGGCCACGATGAAGCGGAGTGAGAGAAGCGTTGTTTGTCTGCACACGATACGGTGCGGTGCCACCCAGCCGTCGGCACTGGGGTGTTGAAGTACGGTAGGTTCAAACGCAGCAACGTGTGACGCACATTTGTGATCGTCGTTATCTATACTTGTAGCACGCGTACAGCGCGATGCTGCCTGCCACACACCGCGCGTGTATATCGCGCCCAGGACGTGCTTCGGGGCTCCCTGCGCGCCATGATTGCCGCGTGGCGCCATTGAGATCGACCGTGACCTGCCGCGCTGAGGACGGCGATGGCGGCGCGCTCGGCGCCAGCAGCGGCGGCAGCAGCGCCGACAGCGGAGGCGAGGCGGGCGCCACGGGGCGGGTGCGCTCATACCACGAGCTCCTGAACATCTACAAATCCATGAACCCTGTTCCAAGCAAGAAGAAGAAGGACGCGGGTGGCGCCAAGCAGCAGAAGCAGTCCACCAAGGGCGGCAACGCGAACGGCGGCGGCGGTGCTGGCAGCAAAGCCACGAGCGGCCGTGCCGGCCCCGCTTCTCGGGGGCAGGAGCAGCAGCAGCAGCGCCGCGGCGGCGGCGACGGCGACAGTGGCGGCAACAGCGATGCAGGCAGGGGCAGCAAGGCCTTGCGGGGCGCAGCGGCAGCCGGTGACAGGGCGGCATCGCAGCCACAGGCAGCTGCAGTTGCCGGCAAGGCGGACGGCGCCCCAAGCCCCGAGCTGGCGCGCCTCGCCTCGCCGCAGCCAGCGGCGCCGCGTGGCTTTGGCACCCCCAGCAGCAGCAGCGGCGGCAGCGGCGGCAGCGGCGCCGACGGCGCCGGCAAGCGCGGCGACGCCCGCGCGGCGCTCGCGGCGGCCGCGGCCGCCGGTTTCAAGGGCTTCGGCGCACCCGGC